CCTCGCTTCCCACTGGGAGAAGGGAGCAGCAGGGTCTGCTATCAGGCAGGCCGGTGCAAGTCCATCTAGGAAAAATGAAGGCAATTGTATTGTTCTCAATGTACTATGTGTACAAGTAATGTAGAGGGTATTTTTGGTGATGTCAAATTTAATGCTTGCCATATCAAATGTAATACTTGCTTAATACTAGCTAGACATTATTGATAGGCAAAGTGAAGAAAATTTAAAAACCAGCCGTGGCCCAGCACCCAGAGGGAAGCCCTCAGTCTGGCAGAGCCTCTGCCTCGGTCCTCATAGGTGCACAGACCCTCCCCCCCCAGGTACATGCTTTCTCTCTTTGTAAACAGGGTCACAGGGAAATATTCTTGGGTAGTATGTTTTTAAATTTAAAGTGTATACTTTGGCTATTTTGTGAAATAGCATTGTATACCATCATTGTAAGGGCTGCATGATAATTCATTAAAGAATGCTTTGATCTGGGGCTTAAGTGTACACTGTTTAACCAAGTGCTCTGATCTGAGAGAGCTCTCTCTCAAGATTATTTTGAGTTCATTTATACTAGTATCACATACACTTGTTCAGAACTATAATGTGACAACTGACATATTTTGTTTTATTGTGGAAGAGGAGGTGGTAGTAATATTCTTCCTAGAGAAATAACTATCTTCCTGTTAAAAGTTATTGGGATTTTAGTCTTGACTTTTGAATTTTGTTTTCAGGTTGTAAGAGCAATACAGGAATGCTGTGGGGTAGGCAGGCGTATGGTGTTACAACATGTAACAGGTAGAAATCACCGTCTTCCTTCCAGCCCACAACACACTGCTCAGAATTGGCTACAGTAAACGTTTGGTATGTCTGTCTTCCAAACATTTATAAAGCAATTTTAAACACACAGACTATATAATCACACACCCAAACAACTTAGGTATATAAATAAATACACAAATACCCATACACACACTAGGGCATACACAGGATTCATTTGTATAATTGACATTCATGGACTGCCAGGATAAAAGGATAAAAGTCCCCCCTGTGCTTTAGTCCCCCACAGACTGGTCAGGAGGTAATGGCAGCGCCTTGCGGTCCATGCTTCAGCAGTGGGAGAGGCAGGGTCACAAAGAAGCCTCTCAAAAGAGACCTTAATCCGGCATGGGAGGTGGTCATGAGGGCCTCTGGGTGCCGGCAACACCACATGCAGGCCTCCCAGAATGACACAGGGGGATACGGCCAGGGAAGGAACATTCTGGGCAGAAAAACAGCACATATAAAGGCATGGAAGTGTGCCCCTGTGGGAGCTTGCAGGCTGGACAGAGCTAAGAGGAAAGGGGAAAAGACAGGGGCAGAACCCACCTCATGAGGGACTTCACAGAAAGGTTCAGGTTTCTCCTCAAGATAGAATGCACCATTAAAGATTCTAAGCTGGAATCGCAAGATCTGATTTGATTTTAAGAGATCACTCTGGTAATGATGGGGAATGGCTCACAGGAAGGATGCTGGGCTGCTGTCTAGGAGGCAGACTACGGTGGTATTCTAATCAAGTAAGAAAAGAGAGCAGTGGCTATGTAGATCCCAGTTAGGAAAGCAGAATGAACCGAGGGTGAGCACTGGAGAAAGAGAGGCCAAGGAGAACCCTTGTGTTCTTCGTCTGGGCCAGCTGGCAGAGCTGTGGCCAAGATGGGCACCAGGCGGTCTGTGCGATCTGGTGAATTTGGGACGATGATATCCAGCAGGCTGCTGCATACCTGGGCCTGGAGCTCAGGAGTTCTGGGCTGGGACAGACGTTCAGAAGAACAGCAGCAACTTCCAGGCATGATGCCACAAGTGCCAGGTCATTCCATAAGCACTGAACCCAGTGACAATGTGCCAAGTACCTCTAGGGTGCCAGGCACCTCACCTCTATCATGGGCCCTCAGCAACTCCCTGATAAAGGTATCACCACCCCTTTTTACAGGTGGGGATCGATCATCGGGATTAAGTAACTTGCCAAGGTCTCATGGCTGGTACAAGGTCAAGCTGGGAGACAAACCTAGGCCCCCAAAGCCAGAGCTGACACTCTTGCACCATGCTACCCCTCAGCAGGCAGCACGAGTGACATCACTGTGTAGTCACTCCTCACACAAGGACTCAAATTAACCAAATGGATTTATTTTTATTTTTATCTTTTTAATTTTATTTAGTTATTTTCAAGTACAGTTTTCTGTCTATTTCTCCCAACCCAGCCCACCCTGCCCCGTGCTCCCCACCTCCCTCCCATTTCCACCCCCCTTAGTTATTGTCCCTGTGTCCTTTATACTTGTAAACTCACTTTAAGACAAGCTTCATACTCCAAGGTACAAATGTGAGGACTAACTAGTCACCCTCTATTTTCCTAAAATATCCTTAACTTTGGCAAAATTTGTATAATAGATAACTTTCAAAGGGTGGGTTGGTGTCAAGAGTATAGATGTCACCTGCACTAAAAATGTAACTGATTCTTTTTTAAAAATATTTTATTTATTTATCTTCAGAGGGGGAGAAAAACATCTCCCCCCTTTATCTAAGAGAGAGGGAGAGAAACATCAATGTATGGTTGCCTTTCGTGCATTCCCTGCTGGGAACTGGCCTGCAGGGAACTGGTCTGCAACCCAGGCATGTGCCCTGACTGGGAATTGAACCGCGACTGTCTGGTTCGCAGGCCTGTGCTCAATCCACTTGTAACTGATTCTTTATCTGAGCAAATAAAAGTTTTATAAAACATACCATCCTTAAAAACAATCTTGAGGCTGTTTTAGTCCCACCACTATTACCGAATTGTACTTGGGGTATGTCTGCCCCAGCACAACTCTCACAGGTGAGGGACTGTCAGCAATGGTTGATTCACCTGTGCCCCACGCAAATTCGAACCTAGTGATTACATAAGAGGCCACTTTCTTAGACTGAAGCCACTTCTTCTGTTCAGAGTTCATGAACTATGCCGCAATGTGGACTATGCTTTGTGATTTTACAATAACAGTCATAAAAGGATAAGGAGGATAAGGAGTAAAGTCCTCCATAAACATCCGTTTGAGCAACAGCCCAGGAAAATCGCACTATCCAAAGATGGGCTTGCCCAGAGTTGCCCTTCGGTCAGGAGAAGGGAATGAGACTCACACCAGCACTCATGCACTCGCCTTGCTGATTCATCACAAGGAGCAAAAAGGAGGACAGAGTTAGAGAACATCTGTTCTTTGATGTACATGATTTTTATCTGAACTTGTGCTGACAGAACATGAAGTCAAGAAAATAATCCAGTGAGAGATCCCACCTACCACACACCAGGATGCAGGTCATTGCTTTCTGGCAGGGAAGTGCCACTCACACTGACACACCTCTGAAAGTGGAAACTGCAAGGGCTCTAAGACTGGGAAATCAGTCCAACAAACTCAAGGCTACACAACTATGCACAGAAATTAACATAGAGGAATGGAAGGCAAAAACATGCATGCATCCATGTTCTTTCAGAAATAACTTCTTGACTGCCTGGTAACTTTCACACAAACCCCTACACACTTGATATGAGCTCCCCATAAACTCTTCTTGGAATCTCCAGATCCTATCTGACACTTCACTCCTGCAATCCGGATGCACAGAGAGGTAAGCTGTGGGGCCACAGAAACAACCAAAGCCACTTGTGAGCCTTGCTGAGTTTTCAAGAGGATACCAGGTGCCCCATCACTTACACGGGGCCCTAGCACTTGGTTTCCAAAGTAAGGTTGGTTCTAAATGGCAGAGGTTAACACTGTCCAAGGCATGAGGTGGTGTGTGTTTCCATTCGGTGGAAGGATCACAAACAAGAAGGAGGACCAAAGAGATTGAAGCCTCAAATGTATTTCCCACACCAGTGGTTCTCACAGTGTGATGTGGTACAGGGCATTCTTCTGAAATAATACCAGGATGCTATTTGCTTTATTCACTCTTGAGTTTTCAGGAGTACACAGTGACGTTTTGCAAGGCTACGTGACGTGTAATGTTGCAACAGACTGAATACAGAATCAGATCTCAGAATCTATCTGCCTACTATGAAACCTGACATCTAAGAGATTTGCAAAAATATAAAATGCCACTCTTTGCAGTAATATTGTATTTGGAAAAATATGGCAGGTTTCATAAAAATATGTTAACATGTAATAGGTCCGCTGTTATTTTTAAATGAATTATTGAGTTTAGAAAAAATTCTGTTCTACATGTAAGGATCACATAAACAAAACCACTGTAGATATACTAATTTGAAGAATGTAAAGGAGTTCTGAGTCCCCCCAAAAGTTTGACAATTGCTGTGCTAGAGGCTGTGCCCCTTCCCCACCCCTCACAGCCCTCACCCCGAGGGTTCTGCGTGGTACAAGAGGCCAAGATGTGCCATTCTGATGTGCGGGCTGAATTAGCAAAGGCAGCTCATGCTCCTTCCTGGGTCTCTGAATCTATTAGAGCGGACTCTGTGCCCACCCTTCCACCTTCCACCGAGGGGTCTTTTCCCCCTTGCCCCATTTTTCTCTTGCCACTTGGTGTGGATTCCCCAATCTACCAGCACCTCGGTGAGGATTTCCCTATCTGGCCAGCTCGAGCTCAGCGAGGCCTACCAGGTGAGGGCCGCATACACCCTTCTCAGAGTTAGGGCTCCCCTGTTTGGCCGGCCTGCACAGCTTCGGTGAGGGCTCGCCAGTAAGGCCCACGCATCGCGAGGATTCTCAAAGCTGCACGCACACCGAGACAAAGGCAGACGAGGAGAGCCACTTCCAGTACCGAACCCTGCTCCCCGCACGGCTGTCCAGGCGAAGAGGTCAGTACCCAGGGAGAACTGGCCCTGGATTCTTCCCTCGGCCTCCCCGGACTCTCCCCCGCCCCCAGTCACTGCAAGCCTGAGTCTGGAGTTCGGGGAAACGTGTCCCGGACGTTCTGAAAGAGGCTCACACTGACTCCTCCGGGTACAGGGCGGCCGGAGCTCCCACCCGGGATGTCAGGCCGCCCCAGTCGGTACTCACTACAGACTGCACCGTGGGGCTCAGATGGTCAGGCGGACACCAAGCTGCGGGGCGCTCCAGTGCACTGAGCAGCGGGGTGCTCTTCCGTGAGCTGCGTGGTTCCAGCTACTGACACCTCCTCCGCTCCTCGCTCCTCCCCGGGCCACCCCAGGCCAGGGGGCGGAGCTGGGGCGGGGCGGGGCGGGGCGGAGGATTGGGGCCAGGATCAGCAGAAGCTCTGGCCTGAGGGGGCGGGTGGGGGCGGAGTCTGCCGTGGCTCCCGCTCCCCCTCCCCCATCCCGCTGCAGGACTTCGCTCTAGTAGGGAGGGAGGGTTGCTGACCCCGTAATCGTAGCACAACCCTGCTGACTTTGTTTTTTGGGCTTCAGTCCACTCCTGCCTTTCCATGGCCTGAGAACAGGGTGACTTTAGCTCGCTTTGGGACCCGGAGTGCAACGGCCTAGCTCCTGCTGAAAAGTGAGGGGCGGGGAAGAAATGAAGCTTTTAAAAAATGATCTGGCCGAATGCCACGCTAAGGCTTCATTATTTGGCTGCTTCAGTAGGTGTGATCTCTAACCGATGATCTCGCTTCTTCCTACCACCTCGCCCCCCCCCCCACACACACAAGCACCGCGTGCACGCGAGTGCGTGCGCCTTAATTCCTTGAGAAGCTTGCCAAGTGGTCATCAGGGTCACGCTAACATGATAGGACTGCAACGTTTCCATGGGTACAAAGGCAAATTTTGTGTGTGTGATTTTTTAAACTTGTGAAAACACTTTACAATGCAGGCTGTTCTAACGTTAGTGAAATGGGTGAGAGTTGACACTGTGGGCCTCCTTCATAGGACCTACTTTTGTTTGGTAGGTTGGCTGGAGCTGTGCCCTCTCAGGCAAATGCGAGTCCAATGAAGTGATTAGATCTTTCTAGATGAAAGGTGGTGAGGTTTTCCTGCCCATCTTATATGGGAAGTTTTTGTAGTTTTCTATCTTTAAAAAAATATTGTATTAGTTTCGGGTATACAGAGTAGTGGTTAGACAATGTAGTTTCTATCTTGAGAATCTGAATAAATAGTTTATAAGATTAATAATAGCAAATACTGATACCTACTGTTACCAGTTACCATGCTGTTACTCCGTGCAGGGCCCTATGATTGACTGGATCCTTACATGTTATTTAATTCACCTCTTCCAACTGCCCTGTGAAGTGAGGAATACTCCCCTACCGTGCAAATATGAAATGTCCCATAACCAGGATTCAGTCCCCAGGCCTATCTGACTCTGAAGCCCACGCTTTTTTCATCACACTATGCTACAAAGTGGAACTATTCCCTAGTTACATTTAATTTTAAAGGGGATATTTACTATATTTCAAATAGCAGAGAAGACTTTCTTCCCGCCCACTTGGTAAATTCCTTCCACTCACATTTATGAAACAAACTTTCCTTGAGTGTCCACCATAGGCCAGAGGTTCATGACCAACCCTGAAAAATAATACTAGAGACTTGCCCCACCCCCAGGGCTTGGAAGTTAGGGAGAGTCTGAGCCCAGCAGGAGTGGCCAGAAGGCTGGGAGGTAGGCACAGAACACTCGCAGTTAAATTTCCATTCTAAAACAGCCTTTCAAAAGGCAAAACTTCTGAATGTGTAATGATAACAGGCACATATTATGATAAGTGGCAATCCTTGACAAAAAATAATGAAATCAGGACTGTAAAAGGAATTGAAGTTTAGTAGTAAACACTTTGGGCAGAAAACCTGAAGGAAGCAGTTCCCACATCACTCCACTCTGCTGCTCTTGGGAATGTCGCTAGTGACACAGATCGCAAAGCCACTGGCCTCTCTTCTGTGCTTGCCTTGCTGACTGCTCTGCGGTATTCGACACCGGTAACTAGCCTTTCTTTGGAATTTTAACCTCCTTTTGGCTTTAGAGCCTTCTGCTTTCCTGACTTACCTCTTCCTTAGGCTCCTTCACTGCACTCTGTATTCTCACGTTATCTGTGACTGCATACATTGATGAGTTTTCTTCATTTCTCTCTCATGCAGGCTTCCTGCCACCAGTAGCTGAAGCCTGCCACATCTGCCTTCATTGGTCTTAATCCTCCTTGGGTCTCTACACTCTTTATTCCCAGCCATTTGTGGGGCATTGCCACCTGGGTATTCCAAAGGCACCTGGCATTCTTCCCATCTAAAATGGGAATTCAGTGTCTTCTTTAACCATCTGTCTGTCCCCTCCTACCCATGCGATTTTTCCTCATCCTAAATACCACCTCTTGAATTGAGATCTTATGGTATGTTGAGACAGCTAAACTTCTAATGGTTCAGAATCATATTACTATGCTTGTAGAAGGTTTGCCTGGTAAATATTTCTGTCATAATACAGAAGATTCTGCAAGTGGCCCAAAGGAGTGCATATACTTCATAGACCTTCTGAGAGGAAACCATCCAGGTGAGGTAACTGCTCATGCATCGCAGATCTGCACCAGGGGCAGAAGGGCCCTCAGCTGGGGTAGCAGCATTGTTCTTTCTAATAGCCTTAGCACCAGAAGTTTCTGCTACAGTAAAAAGAACCACAAGGACTACCGTCAGAGACCTGTTAACATCTTAGGGATGTGTCTCATTATACTCCAACTGACTTAAGTTATTTGTACAAATTGGACTTACTCAGTTTATAGAAAGGTCTAAAAACCTGGACCCAACAAACTTTACATTATGCTTTTGTTGGTACATGCAGACTCAAGGAAAAGCCCTGAGGCTGAAAATCTACCTCTGTAAGTGGAGGGCAGGAAGAGACTGAAGAAAGAGGCTGCTCACTCCAGTCTGACAACTAACCGACTCTATTAAGGAAAACTTACACAGGAGATGCCCCTTGGGCAGCTGCAAGGCAAGGTGGCTATTCTCCACACTGCTTGAAAGGCATCAGAGAATTACATAAGGTAAGGTGGGGGCAGAGGTAATCACAGACACTAATTGCAAATGCTACCAGGTATGGAAAATTGCTTCACATACCTGAGCAGGTCAGAAGAACAGCCTGTCCTAGAAACCAGTATATCCCTGGAGTCAGGGGAAGGGTCCTGATTAATCTCAGAATCACACAGTCTCTAAGGCAAGATTTTGGTATGTAGTCTGTGTTCTAGCCCAGGTCCAGCTCAAGGGTCCCAGCTGCAGTCATGTCATGGAACAGTCTCTCCTCCACCAGTTGCTCTGCAACTGATAATGCATGCTTAGACATGTTATTTAATAGGATGGAAGTGATGTAGTAAGAGAAAGGCAGCCTGGCATAACGGTCCCCAAACTTCTTGGTGCACTGAAAACACACATTCCCATGTTGCACTCTTAGAAAGGCCAAGTTTGAGAGTCTGACCACCCTTTGAGAAACAGCAGTGTTGGGTCCCAAACTGGGTGTTTTTTAGAATCACCAAGAGGAGTTTGTTAAAAAGGCAGCTTCCTGTGCCCCCATCTCCTAGACTGTTTGATTCCTTACGCCAGGGTGGGATTGTGTGTAAAGTCTGAGGAATCTAAATGGTACAGGTAATTCGTCTCTAGCATGTCCACAGACTGACGGGGAGCTGCTATTTGGAAATATATTCTCCACGAAGGTACAACCATGTCACTTTGTTCACTATCCCTAGCACGGAGCCTGGAACACAGTAGGTTTTAAATCCAACTTTGTTGACTAACTTATTGTCAGTTTCTTCCTGTCCCCTGTCTATTGCTCTCTGTTGGCCTGTGTGCTGTTCAATATTCTCATAACACAGAAGAGAGATATCTTTTTGGCAATAAATAAAGTATAAGGCAGTATTTCCGGAAATTCTTGTTTAAAGGGACTCTGGAATACTAAAGTTCATTATTAAATTATGTCTTCTTCATATGAGAAGAAGTTAAAAATAAATGTTTTATTCCTCTAAAAGTTGCTATATTCATAATAAGGAAAGGCATCTCTTAGCCTCATCTTGGCCCTGGAAAGGTATGCAGCTGCCACCACCCTACTGTCTGTTACAATCTCATTTTTTAAAAAATTTATTGGTTTAGAGAGAGAAAGGAAGAGGAAGAATGGGGCGGGGGACAAGGAGAGAGAGAGAGTGAGCGAGATTTATTTTTCTACTTATTCATGCATTCATTGGTTGCTTCTTGCACGCCTGACTGGGGATCTAACCCACGGCCTTGGTGTATCGGGGTGACACTCTAACCAACTGAGCAAGTCAGCCAGGGCTAGTCTTGATTTTGGTGTGCTCTTTCTTGCTGCCTAAGCGTTTAAATTTCTGAGCTGCCGTTCCAGAGAAGCAGGGCCATTTGGCCACCTGATGAACAATTAACTGCCACTCCCTTCGCTATAACTAGTAATAAAAGCCAAATGTGACTAAATGACCCATTAAATCTTTACAGCAACCCTCTGAGGCTAGTGATGTTGTTGCCATTTCACAAATAAGATTCAGAATGATCACATAATTTGCTTCAGGTCACATAATGCATAATGGTGATGTTGGGGTTTGGACAAAGGCAGCTCTAACTGCAGACTATGCTTTTAACCTCTATGCAAGCAAACACAGTTTTATTGAAGTGAAATCACTGCATACCCTAAGGATATAAATTACTTATTCTTTGCACAAAAGAAGAGGAAATCAGATGTTCTGGAAGGGAATGTTGTTCTATCACTATGTATCAAAAATTCATTTTTCATTTATTTTTAGGACTTCTCCAGGGTGGTAGTACAGAGGTCCCTGCTGTGGCTCTGTACTGCAGGTGCACACAGGTGAAGTGCTGCTCATCTTGGCAGATGCAGGTGTTAGAAACGGGACCATTAATGTGATTGTTCAGAGACTGTTGGTACTGACTTGTTTAATTTTTCCCCAGGGGATGATTTAGTAACATTGACAAGCAGGAGTTTAAAAAACTAGCACCTCTGTCACTAATTGGACTCATCTGCACTTCCAGGTTATGAAGAGACTGCTTTCACATATTAATTTATTTTTTAAAAAGTCTTTCTATAGCTTCTATGTCTCTTATGCTTTTTTCACTCTTTTCCATGTTTTGTTCTCTTTGTCTTTCTTCTGGGTATTTCTTAGTGACCTGTCTTCAAGATACTATAAAAGCAGTGGCTCTAACTGCTTATGAGCAGTGGATTCCCTGAGCTCATATTCCCT